AAGGCAATTTACAAAAACGAATAAAGTAATTAAAGTGTAAATGCCAAAAGATTTTTTTTTTAAAAAAAAGCATCAATAACATAGTAAATGCAGCAAAATAATCATGTTTAAAATTGCGTCTCAACGTCTTTGAAATGATAAAACATCTTTTCCAATTCATCAGTGGCTTATAATGGGGTTAAAAACATGCTTGTTTGTGGATTAGTACTTTGGGTGAAACCAACCATGGCAGTTGGTAAACCACAATTTAATGGGGTTAAAAACATGCTTGTTTGTGGATTAGTACTTTGGGTGAAACCAACCATGGCAGTTGGTAAACCACAATTTCTGGTTTAGAGTTTGTATAACACCTGCCAACTGGGCTCTATCCAGTATAGGAAAGTTAAACTATGGCTTAGCATGATGTGTGTATCCAGCATATTGGTGATGGTTAAGGCCATTTGACACCCAGTAGTTTGCCACTGGATACCACTAAAGGAAATTTCTGTTTTTCCAATTCAGTTGTGATATCCTGGAGGTATCTGCTTAGCTCTGATGGGACCCCAGTGCTAATCTAGAACAAGGGCCTTCTTAGTTTCTTCTGAGTGTTCTAAGCAAACTTCAGAGAAAATGGAATTTCTCTGGCTCCTTACCCCATGGTGTAAGACATCCTGGAGGGTTGATCTACAGGTAGTCTCTCAAGCAGTACATACCCTGTCCAAGACCATCAGATTCATCCTTTATCCCTAAAAACATTGTATTAAGCTTCCAAGGGCCTGAAAGCAAGGCAGAGCAGAGCAGTTCACAGCAACCATCTGGCAAACAGTAATAAGAGCCAAACATCCTTCAAGCCTACACTTCCTCTGCAAATGCTACATCCCAGACCAGCTTCAAAGCTCTCCTTCCCTACCCTTCCTGAGTCAAATGGAGACACTGAGTTCTTTGGAGAATGCTTCCTGCATGTTCCATCTTTTCCCTGCCTTTCTCCAAAACTAACTGTCCTTTCCGAACGACATGAACACCAAATTCATTTCTCATGGAGAGTATTGGGTACAGAGAGTCCAAGCCTGGACAGAAACGATGGTTGGCCAGAAGACAAAGTAATTCTTGACTGGCCAGATTGCCATGCAAATTGTTGTTGTTATCTCAAATGCCAGATTCAAGTGGTCTTTTTTTCCCCTACAGGGACTAGAGAAGAAATGGAAGGAACCATAGCATCCAGACAGGTTCCCAGCTGGTCCCCTGAATTGCACCTTCTGCTTCCAGAAGAACCATCCTATTGTCCGAGCACAGAACAGACACGATACTTTCTTTTGGACTGATTTTGCTTTCAGAACCTTCACCACTGCCCCTTCTCTTAAGAATACTGGTATCTGCTCTCCCTGCCTTTTCTTCCTACACAGATCCCAGGATTCCTCTTGGTGCCTGCCCATGTCAGTCAAAGTATCTACCCCCAAACAGAGAGACTATATTGGTGCAATATATAATAACTACACCTTTATTTCTTGGTTGAATCATTGCCCATTAGTATCTCTTGATCTTTTATATCTGCTCTTCTGTTACTTGCTACATCCCGTGTACCAGTCCCCATGAGCCAGTAGGCCTTCATTGCAGAATCCTGAATTCTAAGCAAGATGGGCAGTGGAGAAAAGTTTTTGAAATAGATATGGTTCAGGCTTTTAGTTTTATTTCCATGACTGGTCAATAGAATTTGAGACAGATGATGAGGTGCTTCAGAAGCATTCTTGCCTTGGCTAATGAGATTGGAGACAGACATAACACTCTTGTTATAAGCCACTATTCTAGACTACCAACAAGATTTCCAACCTTCATTTTATCAAATTAAATTATAAATTATTTTTACCAAAGTACTCCAATAATAGGAGAAAAAAAAATAGATTGGTGATTATATAGGCACTAGCCAATAGGTGGACTTTTTCCTCCCTTTTCTTCTAGATGCACTGGGAGTAGCAGTAACGTTTTGCCATCTTGTCTCTTGAAGTTACTCCAGAACAGAAAAGTGTGCATAATTTCCAAATATTTTTTATTTTATTTATTATTAAATTTATATGCCGCCCATCTCCCCCAGAGGGTGACTGTGGGTGGCTTACAATTAATTACAAATATGCATTCGTTACCTCTCCACTCCATTTAAAACGTTATGTCTGCCTTCACCCTTGATGGTGGCGAGTTTTGCAAATACCATAGAACCCCTTAGATAAAGCCTGTTTCTCCAAAATTTCCATGCTGCTTTCAGCTGTATGAAAGAAAGAGATAAAGCAAATTGTGGTCCACCTCAGCTGGAAGAATGCCATTCCTTGTTTAGTGCAGACTGGTGTTCTACCAAGCTCCCTCCTGCATGTTGCATGGTTGTTTATTCCTTTGTATTTAACACTTCTGGGCCTCCTTTTAGAGATGTTGTGCAGATGACCTCCTTTTGATCCATCCAGTCCTCCTAGAAGTATTCCCTTTCATCAGTGATTTGAAACTGAGATATTATGAATCCTTTGGGTGTCTCTGGTTGTTTTCGTAGTGCCGTGAATTCTTTTTTCAAACCAACAGTAGCTGTAGGATGGTCACTGCTTTCTAGAATCTTTGAGCCAGTGGAGATGGTGACCTCTCAGCTCCTTCACTTTTACTATCTGTACCCCTGCAATTGGCTTTCAGGCTTCTAATTTGCATGGACCCAAATGGACAATCAATGGCTAAGATCTTTTTCCCCAGTGCAAACCACTTCTTCCAACCCTAAGTTTGGGAAATGCTATTTGTATTGAAACACTCTGCCTACCAGTGTTGCTGATAGTATGTTTCGTCTCCCCAATCACTTAAAGCCTCTTTAATCTTGCTTTGATAATTGCACTTCAACTTCAAATGATACAGTTGGGCTTTATAGATGAGAGGGCTCTAATCTAGCAATCCAAAGAATAGCCCAGGCTCCCTGATTGGCTAGCAGCTGAGAAAAGAGATACCACCTCAACTTTTTCTTCAGTGCCTATTAGAGTCCATGTTCATCCATGTTACCCCATAGGATAATTTACTGACTGTGGTGGTGGTGGAACTGGAGAAAGAGTAAGGTAGAAGCATTCATGCCTACATTCTCCTTTGCATTCTGTGTGCAACACAGAAAAGAGTAGCAAACTCCATTCAGTCGAGTCACTACAAGACAGAACTAAGGCCTATCACATGTAGGAAATGGCTTTTTCTCATTCAGCTTCATTTGACTCATGCCCTGTCCTCTCCTTTCACTTGTGAATACTCTCCTGCTTTTCTTCTCTTTTCCCCAGCCCTTAATTCTTCTCTCTCACCCACCAACAATTTGGCAGAATCTGCTGCCATTGTCTTTTTTTAGTCTCTCTCTCTCTCTCTTTCTCTTTTTGCATGTGATCTCTTCGACTAAGATGGAATGTTAATAAAGAATGTCATGTAAAGCAAGAGTACTGAGGTCTTTAGTAGTAGCTATATATTTTTAATTAAAATCTTCCAGGCAAGATGTAAAGGGTGGAGCTGGGTAGATATCCCATTCCAGGGTGGGAAGAAGAATGGGGATATTACAGCAGATTTCAGAATCCAGTGAAGCCCAACTTTCAGAGTTTTCATTTTTATGAAATTCATGGCAATTCTTGCTTCAATAGATCTTGGAATAGATAGAGATTTGGTGACTACCTGTGGCAACTTTGGAAAACAAAGATTTTAATCTCCCATTCAACAGTTTAAAACCGTTTCCCTCTCATCTCCTGGAACTGGTTCTGAAGACAACATTAATGTTTAATTCCCCAGAGTGCCACTTTGAATTGGAAATACCTTTTTCCCATGCAAGCAAACAGCATAAGGGACTGCAAGGCAACTTAAGAGCCAAACAGTGTGAGATGCAGAAAGACATGGACCTATGATCCACAACGTGAGGTCTCTTTTATGTTCCTAAAAGAATCCCTAAAGTGGTCATTTGGATTGGGATCACAGTACAGTCCACACGCTTATGCCACTTGTGCACCAAAGCTATTCATTATGATGGGAGGGGGAGCATCCTGGAATTGATGGGGTTGCCCCTTTGGTAATGAATGGGAGTTTTGTGTGTTGATATACATCCGTTTTTATTTTATTTTTTACAAAACAGCAGCCCATAAAAAACTGCAAAGTGGCATCCCCTCCTACATATGAAGAAGGGGAATGATGGTCTGCAGTTTTGCATTTATCCTAGATACACACGGGAAAGTGATGAAATATGTGGAACCTCCATTTATCTGCTCCTTGCACTTCAGACTGTTCAGACTGAAGTTCTGGCTTCCAAACAATCCCCAAGGACAGCTCCATGTAGAGCACTTTACAGTAGTCCATATGGAAGTTGCTGCAACATGGATCCTTTATGCAGCACTCTCTTCCCTCATGAGTGACCACATCCCTTAAAAAAGAGTCTGGTTAGAGCTATAGACCCAGATCTAAGAATATCTCCTCAGAAATGGAAGTAAAGACAGTAGCTTCCATTCTGGTCACAGGCACTCACCCATGGAAAGACAGGAGCAGAAAAATCCACTTCTTCTGTTGAACCACATTCTTACTAGCAAAGCAGATGGAGTTAGATTCAATCTGGCTAAGAAACAACAAATGAACTTGAGATGGGGAATCTGTTTTTCTTTTTTCTTTTCATTTTTCATGTGGATAGCTACATTCTCTCGGCATTACCTCTCCAGGGACACACGTCAAAAGCAAACAGGGCTAGTCAAGCACCACAAACTAATCAAACCCAAAACAAACCTCCAGGAAAGTAATTTAGGAAATGTCAATACAGCCGGAAGATTAGGAGTGGTAGGTGAAGGCTACCTCAACAATGGATGGGATGAGTTTTTCAGATGAAACACACTTTCACTGCAGTAAAACAGAGCTGGCCTTTTGAGAGGAAAAATAGCAATTCAGATTCAGACAATGATGTTCTTTAGTTGGGATTTGGTTGTGCTCACTGATCCAGGTCTAGAAGAGACATTTTCCAGGAGTTTGCTTTCTGATTTACTGTCCCTTCTCTCCAGAGGCTTGAAGATTCCAGGAGCAGTAGCGTCCTCCCTTTAGGGAAAGAGAAAGAAGAAAGAAGAAAGAAGAAAGAAGAAAGAAGAAAGAAGAAAGAAGAAAGGAAGAAAG